AGACCAAATTGTTTTCATTTCTGGACTCGCTGGGAAGAAGGTAGAGAAACAGCGAATCAGAACTTTGATGTGGAAAAACCACTGAGGAATGGAACGGAAAGAAGGCTCTGAGCAATGATTTTAAAGCAGGGAGCTGCAAAAAAAATTTTTTTTTTTTTAAAAAGCATAATTCACCCAGGGAGACCCTCTGCGGGGAGGGGGTGGTATCTTTCCAAAGCAAAAAATAAATTGCTTAATTAGATTTTTTTTTTTAATGGATAATTGCCTTCATGTGCTTTCAAAGGCAGCTTAGCAACCTCTTAACATCCGCATGCCCTGTAATAGCAACCTTGCTCTGGGAGGGGTTTTTATACCTTCACAAGCAGTGGCTGACAGTAAACACCTATCGATACGGATGGGGGCTGGGGGTGTAATGGGCACTTGGGAGTCGTTAATAAAAGCATGATTCAAAATTTCCTGGTCAATATGTGTTCACATAAAAGGGCAGCATTCTAATATCCATAATCTCCAAACCCATGGGGCAGAGTTTAATGAAAGTCTGTACAATTCAGGGCTCTATATCCTCAAAAGCAATTGTTCTAAAAAACAACAACAACCCCTAGAATCTACTGATGGGCAAGAGGTGTAGGGTAAAGGCAGGAATCCGAAATGCACAGTGGAGCGATGAAGACAGTCTTAACAAGCCAAACCTGAATTAAAGTTGCTGGTGGGTTGCACTGGGACAAATTCAGAAACAAGCTGGGAAAAGAGTCCCTCTGCACGCTGCCTGATGAAGAGGAAAGCCATGTGTTTCCGCAAGAGGCTCGTGCAAGAAATGAGAAACAGATGTGGGCTGAAAGAGGGGGTATTGGTGACAGCCAAGTAACTCAGAAGCCCCATACGTGGGGCTGAATGATAGCATGCAGCTCCCTGGGAAGCAGGTTCTTTTTGCAAAATTATTCCCAACAGGGAGGGGGGAGATGGTGCATTAGCACAGAAGCATCCCTTAAAAGATCACCTTATAAGGTGTGAAAGAAAGATGGCAGGCTCTGACACCTCAGCAAGGAGATCTTCTAACACTGTGGGATGACGCCCTTTCTAGAGTGCCTCAAGAATGGATTTCACTGCTTTGCTTGCAGCCTTTGGGGACATTTTTTGTTCATACCTAGCTGAGGGCTTCAATGGATTGGGTTTTCTTATGCATGGCTAGGATATGGCCCATTGACCCCACTTTCAAAAGGCTGCCATCTTTCCAATCTGAAAAACTTCTTCCATGTCTTGAATGCCTCAAAACCTCTGCTTTGGAATATGGTTAATATATCTTACCTTCTAATAGGGACATATTGCCAAAATACATTAAAACAATGCTCTGCAGTTCTCTGAACTATTCTGGACTTAAACCAATGTTCTCTCCTCCTGTGTCTCTTATGATATCCAAGTTTCACCAAAGATCCCTTAAATGTTACGTTCTGCAACTGTCAGATTGCCTCAGTAACAGTACAGAGGGGCACATGTTTGGCTATTTCTCACCTGTTACAGCACTTCATTCTGCTAAGCACTGACATCATCATGAATCACTCTAAGACCTACTTAAATAGAATTCCAGAAAAGCTAGAAAAAGAAAAAAAATGCAATAATAATCCTATTCTGTTTCACTGGTTCTTTTTTTCAGACTAGCATTTGGAAAACTAACATTTAGAGATCTCCAGATGATTTGCAGTAGATTGGGAAAGGTTCCCAATACTCAAACAACTAAGAATAGGAACAGTTCAAAAATATTTTCCACTTAAAATTACACAACCGAAAGAGAATGTTTGGGAGAGAAAACCAGGAGAGGAAAGAATTATATGGAATAATATAGAAAAGGAAAATATGGAGAATCTCCTTTTCCGTTCATAAACCGTCTCTCTGTAATCCTTAGGAAATTTTGTCACTCCCTTTATAAAAGCTGGCATAATCAGGATGGAATGCTTTTTGTATGGCCACTTTGTCCATTAATGCAGTGTCTCCTTCTTGTAATTTCAACTTCATGAAAGAATGTTTGGGGGGGGGAAACAGGAGAGGAAAGAACTTTGAAGTTTGTTTTTTCTAGATCACAAACTGCCTAAAACTGAGCATGTGCTCAAAGGCATCTTGTTTCTTAATTTGTAGCCTATGTCTAACCCACTTGAGTATTTTTCACCAAGCTCTGATTCACCGTGCTAATCTAAACAACTGAATGAATTTATCCGTGAGCCTAAATTATCAATTAAATAGTACAAAATCTACACTGACTCATGTGAGCTCCTTTGTTTTCCTTAGCCTGATAAATATGTATGCATGGCATTAGTAATGCCAGAGTTTTTCAAATATGTTTTTTTTTTCAGTTTTACTGGACTGTTCGTTTTCAAAACTGACAAATGCTTGTTTTAACAGTTAGCTGATGATGGCCCAGAAATACGGCTGATCAACAAGCTTTTGGGACTAAAATGCATATCAGTGTATAAAAGTGGCAGCAGAACAATTACATAGTTCCTCCTCTGAAGGAAAAACAATGATTGGCTGTTTTCCAACACAGCAAGCTTCCTTAATTAAAAAAAAAAGGATAAAAAGTTCAGACCTGAGTCTACACCATAAATAGCACATGATCTAGAATAATTATTTATTTGCACACTTTGCTTGCACATTATCGACAATGTGCATCCTATATTCTTTTATCAACCTGAAAACATCAAACTGTCGGGTGTATAAGCCAGATGCTGGATTTGATACATTATATGCCAGTTTTGACCAAAATATTGAAAATTACTATACATATGTTTGTGGAGGGATTTGTATACTTGTTTATTTAAATAGGCTGAATCTTTTTTTTTTTTACAGTAAAATTATTAAAGTTCACAACTACAAAGATAAAAGCCTAATACTACGTAAGTAAAATATAAAAAGTAAAAGAAAAGAAAAAAGTGAAAATAGGAGAAAAAAGGAAAAAGAAAAAAAGAAAAGGCCTTCTGGGAACAGCAATGACAGATTGATCACTACCCTGCTGTTTGCAGAGCTGACAAACATGGTGGAAATAGAAGTCAAAGAATGGATCAGCTCCTTGGAAATTTCTCTTCAGATTAAGGAGAGGACAAGGAGGACCCTTAAGTTTGCTCCACACAGAATCTCCCTGCAAAATTGCAATCTCCAGTAGGTTTGAGAACTCTGAATGCTTTTTTTATTTTTTATTTTTTTGGGGGGGGGGAAAAGAATCATCCTCTCTAAGCTATGGTACAGAACCATAGAGACACCAAAGAGACACAAGGTTTATCTAATTCCTCTTTGCTACTTTAGGAAACTGCTTAATATTAATTTCTTTCAAGTTAAGAACCTTCTAAAGAGCAAGCTTTACATCATTGCAAGGGAAATCTCCTTCTACCCTGGATGAAGAAACTCCAATGTAAGTTGATGGATTATAAAGAAAAGCGTTGCTTTTTGGGGGGAAATGGGCAAAAGGGCAACTAGAAAATGGATTTTGGAAAACTAATGGGCTTGATGGAATTGAAAGAATATTCCTGTGGACTTTAAAAAAAGTATTAAAGAATATATGAATATTTTGAAATTCATATGTAAACAATATGGGAACAGATAGATGATAAGTGGGGAAATAAACAGGTGATAAGGCTGACTAGAGGGAACCAGAGAGAACACACAATTTCATTTAAAGAAGAGACCCATTAATTCAATGCAGCAACATTATTTTTCTATAAAAGAAATTAAGACTGGGAACAATGTACTCAAGAATTACTTACTTTTTTTTTTTTATAATACTGCGAAGGATACAGATAAACAATAGACTTCATTGGATAAAAGAGACCAATTTGAATGTGGAATTGGAGCTTTAAAAATGTTGGATTACAAAAGCTATGTGGAAAAAGTTGCTGTGGATCTGAAAATAGTTTTAAAAATGTCAAGAGTAGAAAAATAATGTGGAAAAAGATGCCAAAATAGATGTATAGATGAAACCCAATTGGTTTCTTAAAAATTAAAGGGGACATACAAATAGTAATCAAAAGAGTGATTTGGAAAGCCTTCTTAGCTAGGATTTACAAAAAGAATGTGTGAAACTAAGGAAATTATTCCTGAGAGGAGACAAAGAGAAAATGATAAGAAGTCAACTTATGGACATTTGACGTGTCAGGATTAAAGCTTTTAAAAAGTTAACAGGTGGTCTATGAAATGAATTTATGTTATAAGAGGTCAAATATATATGTTGTAGTTTCTGCTAACTACTAATGGGATTTCTTTCTGACCAGAACTGTATGAAACAGTTTCAAGAATTTGTTTACAAGTCGGGTGAGGATTCTTTTGCTTCGTTTCTTAAAGAAAGTGATACATTTGGATTACAAATGGATTTTTTAAATTAAGATTAAAATACAGTATATGTAATAATATTTCTGGTAGCTCTTAATAGACTTTTGCTGATTAGGATGGCTTTTATAATTTGATTATTGATGAGGGATAAATGATGGGAAAAAGATATTTTAAAAAATGAAATACTAGAGAAGCTGTCGAGTCAATGTAATGGTTTGTACTTGTCTGTAGGGAGGATGAGAATCATCTTTTATATACCTTATTTATTTTAAAATATACTTATTGCATTGTTATATAACAGATGAGATCAAGGTTCAGTTACTATGACTACACATTTGCTCTGGGGTTTTCAAATACAGGAAAAGAGAAAAAGGAAAAGGAAAGGAAAGATTACGGGCAAATTCCAACAGATATTTAACAATTTAAAGATTGGAGGTGATATAATGTATATTATTCCCCCTACCCAAAATATGCCTCCCAAGAAAAAGGATGTCCTAGTTTGTTAATTTTAAAAATAATCATGAAGAAAACAAGAGATTATAGTCATTATATTATCTTTCCTAAAAATATGTTTTTTACTGTTTCAGCACTGTGATCTTATGAATGGAGTTACATACTTAAATATACTTATATATTTATTGGAATTTATTCAGCATTTTGCAGCAGTGTTCCAAGAACATATCACATACCTGAAATTTTAGCGGAGTCCTTATTTATTTCCTTATTTATTTCTCTCGGCACACTGTCTGGTTCCACGGCTTCCACTTTTGCTGGAGTCTCTTGAGTTGCTGATAAAGTTGTGTAGGTGCTGATAATTAACACTCCCAAACCAATCCATAGTATAATCTGTGCAACAAAAGTTCAGAATCTTGAATGCAGGGATGGACAATTCCTAGCTCCTAGGCCCCACACAATCCCCAAACCTCTTTTGTGGGAGCCTTAGGACCTTTCCCTGACTATTATTGCAAACAGTTTTTACTATTTTTTTTTTAGCATTTTGAAGAGGCAACAATTCTCCACTTTGTTGAATAGTAAATATTATATAGTTAAAAAGAAACTTCTGCAAGCAACCGTACAAATCAAGGAAACATCTTTGTGTGTGTTTGCGTGTGCATGAAAAGCTATGTGTTAACATTCTTCCAAACATTCTGTGTTATTGTCCTACTAAATGTGGCCCGCAGTCTATCCATTCTTTGGTGCCAAATACAAAAGAAAGCAGGGCAAAATTGGTAGAAGGGATAGGAAATCAAGGGTCTTTGAGATAGGTTAGACTTAAGAGGCTTGTTTATGGGGAACAACTGGCACCTATTGTATACTGTTCTTATCTCTAGACTTCTTCAGCCTTTCAGCTCTTGACAATAGGCATTGTTCCTCTTTTATCTCCCAGTCTTATCTATATTTTCTTTGATCTTCCTTTCTTATCCTCATTTCTTTCCCTCAAAACTATTTTCTCCTATCCTCAATTGGCTTGTTTTCTACTTTTTATTTCCTTCCTTCTTTTCATTTCTTAAAGTTCTATTTCTTCTATCAGCAATTTCCCTCCTATCTCCCTTATCATTTACTGGAACTTAAGTAATTCAGCCAGCAGCTGCTGGAGACCTCCCCACCCCCACCCCCACCCCCCGCAACATCTTTGTGACATTAAGGCAACCCAGTCAATTGTATCACAGCCACAGGATTCATCAACACCAGCCAAAAACACCTATTGCATTATAGCACATATCACATCTAAATTAAATTGTGCTTTAAGCTCAACACACTAACTGAATAATCCAGTAAAAATTAAATAGGGTAAGGGCTTTAATATCAACAGGGTCGAAATTCAGTTAGATTAGATTGATACTGAAAGAACTCAACAAGTTAGTCCTGGATTGTACTGAGCTGCATTGTAAGCAATATATATTGTATGATACTAAAAAAAATTATGAAAACGTGCTTTGGACTCTAAGCAAGCATAGTATCTATATACTATTTATTAAAGTATAATCATCTTTTTCAGGCTTCCACTACTTTAATAAGTCAATTAATACAGGTCAATATAACTGGTAGTGGAAGCTTTTTCAGTCTCTCACAAGCTTTAATGAGCAACACTGATACAAAATCCAAAGCACGTCTCTATCATATATGAAGCATGTGGAATTCTAAAACCCAGTATTATCCATATGTCAGTAGGGGGAAAACATTTGCAAAACTATCTTTTTGCCATTCGTTGCTGTTATTTATTAAATAAAATCATTTAATCTGCTATAACGTTTTCACAAACTTTGTGATTATCATTTGAATCTAGGCCTAGTACACATGAGAACATGTATAGCAACATCTAGTTAAGGTTTTTGAGAAAATGGAAATTCTACGCAAAAGAGACAACCAGAAAGGAATCCAAACTTCTTTAGTGTCAAAGAAATAATATGAGATACAAACAACGATTTTAAGGAAACGTATTTATAATAATAAGGCCAGCATTACATACATAGAAACAGACAGTCCTTGATTTTTAAAGATAACCTTTAGATATGAATGGAGCTTGAAAGATAGGGAACAGTAAAAATATATTAAAAGAAAAAAGGAATAAAAATATATTAAAAGAAAAAAGGAATAAAAATCGAATTAAAAGATGGAGGAAGGAGACCATTGAACAAGGAATAACATTGAAGGAGGATATGGCTGAAGGATCTGACCTCCCTTATACTAGGAGGGATCCTGAATAGGTTGAGAGTTTGAGTGCCTAAAGTGTAAAAGCAATATGCTCAAGTGGAGACTTTCAGCAGATGACAACATGCCATGTGAATGTGAAGACACACAAAGCCCAGCCCATCTGCTGGTATGTCAGCTACTACCAGAAACAGGTACCGATTAATGACTTATTTTTGGCCAATGACAAAGTCAAGAAGAAAAAACCTCAGGCAGTTTGAAGTTTGCTCTACACTCGATGCATAAGAAGAAAAAAATGGGGCTGCCCATTACAAAATGGAGGACGGCTGATCAGTTATAGTACTTAAAACTTATTCAACTTATTGAATATGATAAAGGGAAGAGAAGCACACTCTCATACACAGCCATTGTTACTGCTTTCAACATTGATTTCTTGCAGATTACCTATTACCTTTCTACCATTGCGCATTGTAACCATTTTTCATCCATTTATCCAGCTTCGTAAATTTTCTACCAAAGTACTCTAGTTCTTCACCATTTGTGTGTAACTTGCAATCACTCAATTTTCTCTGCTCAACGTATCTAGGTCAGTCTTTTAATACATTCATTTTCAGATCATATACTTCATTGCATTACACAATCTAAAATTTGCTTGAAATCTTCAAGTTCTCAAGTAGCAACACGGCAATGTCTGCATACAAAAGTATACAGATAGTCCTAATGACCACAACTGGGGGAGGCAATTCAATTGTTAAGTGAAGCAATGACTAAGTGTATCTGTAACCGTGCTTATTATTTTACTTCAGCTTTCCTGTTTTACGGATCTGCAAAGGTCCTAAATGTATGGATTAGTTGTAAAGTTACTTTTTCATCACTGTCATAATTATGAATGGTTGGTAAACAAGGCAGGGGCTAAGTGAGCACTACCTATACATACATTCAGTTCCCACATGCTCACCTCAAGTATTACTTAACACATTTTCTCCATAAATACATTAAACAACCAAAGGGACATCAGAATTTTTTGTCTTACTCTTTTGCTCAGTGCTCAACTATTAACTAAGCATTCTATTTATTCTTATGCATTCTTTATATCCATTACTACATTCTGCAATTAATCTTCAGCCCCATATTCACAGAAAACATCCCATAATTCAAGTCTATTCACTTTATTACATATTTACTCTAAATTAAGCAATAATCCCCCAAATGTTTTTGTCACATTCATACTTTTCTCAGTGCAGTATAGGGAAAAAAAAGCCACAAAGCATTTCCCAAAAGTTGTTCATTATCACCTCCTGTATCATTCCAGCTAGGATTTTGTCAAACATCTTTCCAGGTCACAAGTCACATAGCCACTCCATAGGCAAACCACACTTATATTTTAATATTCCTCCATTTACCCACACCATTTTTCAACATTCTCACACGCTAGTTATAATATATTCCATCAATTTTTACTTGGATAGTATAGCACTCTAGCAGGACTGGCTCTAGACATTTTGGACCTCTAAGCAAAGTAATATTCTGGCACCTTTATGATTATACAATATTTAATCCTCAAGTGGGCATGCTACCGCATCGAGTGGGCAATTTCCACTTCTCCAGATATAACTTCAATAAGTTGACAGTCGTGCAACTTGTTCACTCAATACTTTTCTATTAGTCCATTGTTTTGCTTTGATAATATTTTCAGTTTCCTGAGGTCCATAGCTATACAGTAATAATTTCTTTTTCATGACTTGAACATCTTGGTTAGTGTGCTATTCACTATCACTCAACTGACTTTGTGGGTGTTTTTTAAAAGTGTGCAAAGAAAAAAGCAACGAGGAAAGATCATCAGATTTTACATTCATATTGTATACTTCAGAAGTGTTTTCAGTTTTGGCACCTCCTAAAATTTAGTGCTCTCGGTGACTGCCTAGGTTGCTTAGTCTAGGAGCGGCTCTAATTATAGCATTTCAATTCCATTTTTGACATATTGCTATCATTTGTACAAATTTCTAATATGCTTCTTCCAGCATTCCCTCACTTCAGTTTCATCCCACATCATGTCATCGTTTTTATTTTTACTTTCATTTACTCTTCTACAGGCTTCTTATTTGGCCCTTTTCATCTACTTCTAAGACAATATTTGAATTTCTGTCAAAATTGCTCTGCATTCTCTCCACTTCTTTTAGCTTTAATTGTATCTTTCTCTTTAACAAGATTCTTTGCAACTATCTTTCTCTCTGTGGACTTTAGACACACCTTTTATCATTCTCTCTTAATATATTTTTTCTTGTATACAGCCTCTTTCACTTCATCATTCCACAAAGCACCTTTTTAAAAATTTCAATAGCATAACTCCACATATTCTCACATACCTTGTAACATGACTCTTTTCATACTGTTTCAAGCAGCTTACTCCTCTTCTTTATCACTGTTCTTCATTAATGATGTTCGAAGATTAATTTATTGTATAATCTTTTTCGTACAAGACTTATACTTTGTTTCTGATCGTTTTAACTATCCTCTGATTTCTTTTACTTTTTTCATTCTCTCACCCATTCTAAACAAACCAGTAATGAATCTGGATGTATATTTATTCTTTTGCCATGTGTATTTATGAACAAACTTACCACATATTTGTATCAGAGATTTTTCCAAACCAGATCTCATTAAACAATTATCATTATCTTTCATTCTTGGGTATCAGAATGGATCGATAACCTTTTTTTAGATCCTCTTGTCTCGTTTCCACCCATCCATTCATGTCACCTAATTTTTTTTCCAAACTGAATTCATTCACAATAATGCACATTTTTGCCCAAACACGTTTTGTTCTTTCCATTATCAATATTCAATGAAGTGTAGCATGTAACTTTCACCACCTTGCTGTTTCATATTTCCATATGTAACCATGATAACCTACATGATATTGAGTCATACTTTCTAGTGTGCTTTTCAGCCCATTTCACCCTTTCATTCATAATGAAACCCATCCCTTCACTCCCGTGCATTTATTCATCAATTCCCCACACAAAATCAGACAATCTTCATTCAGATCTATTACACTTTTCTCTGGGTTTCTTTCCTTTTCTTTACATTTCAATCATCAGTTTAGGCTTTTTATCATTCACTCCTTTTATATTACAAAGTGCAATCTTCCATATGCTACGGCCATCACTAAATAGGTCCACAGATATCAGGTT